AAGGAGAGCGTCGGAACACGGTAAAGTTATCTTCGTTTGATCTATATGTCACATGTTCGAATCGTGAAAACAACCACTAATTTTTTTATTTTTTTTATTTAGAATGTAATAGAGTATATATTTTGTTCTTATATTTCCAATGTCAAAAGTATTAGCACTATTCTTTTCTGAAACTTCTCGTTTATTCAAACACCATCGTAAAATGAAATGACAAGCATATCGTCTAATGTTCTTTCAACATTTCCACCGCACTTCCGAACTTTCTCCGAAGCAAATTCTAATTTTTAGCATAAAGAATATTTTACACTTTAAAATTATCCGTATTGATTAGATCTTATTCCGAATCTATCTATATACTATATTAAAAGCACGAAACCCCTTAGCGAAATGTCATTCACCTTTTTTTACCCTTTTTAAAATAGAGTTCACATTAGACAAAATAGTCATTTGATTATTTTCCTAATATTTATAAATAAACATTTAATTAATTCCCTACTATTTAGGAATAGTTATTTAATTACTCTTTTAATATTTATAATATTGACACACATACTAGGAAACATTTTCGTTCTCTACACAATAGGAAGTTTTCGTTCAACTCCATATTAGACAAAATAGTCATTTGATTATTTTTCTAATATTTATAAATAAATATTTAATTAATTCCCTACTATTTAAGAATAGTTATTTAATTACTCTTTTAATATTTATAATATTGACACACATACTAGGAAACATTTTCGTTCTCTACACAATAGGAAGTTTTCGTTCAACTCCATATTTAGGAGTATTATTAAATTTTTCTTTCTAATTTAGGAGGATCTTTTTTAGTTAATAAATTTTGTCTAATTCACACAAAATAGGAAGGTTTCCGTTTTTCTTTAGTTAATAAAATTTTAACTAATTCACCTACTAGGAAACTTATGATACTTTCAACTATATTTAAATTTAAGGGTATTAAAATTTCAACTAAGAAAGTTTTGATATAAATTTTTGACATTGAATTTTTTTATAAATTATATTAGATGAAGACGAGCTCTTTGAGAATTTATTAGAGTCTTTTTCTAATAAAAATTTTACACAATTTTATATACGCATGCAATTCTATAAAAGAAGTTACAATTTCACCTTTTCATCATCATAATTTTGCCTTGTTCGAGCAACAACTACAAAATTAAGGGTTTCAGGTTCTCTTTCTTTGAACATTTTTTTTATATTAGTAGTTAAATTTTGCATTCATGTATTTGTATTAGCAGTTAAATTTTGCATGCACGTATTTAATAGATACATCTTATTTTGATGTTCTTGATTGTAAAGCTTGGTTGAATAGTATCCTTTTTGTATTCGACTATATGCTTTAACCTTTTGTCAAGTTATTTCTTCTACTATTTTTTTGTGCTCTTATTGGATCTTTTTCTCCGCTTTTAACAGGTTTTAATAGTACTTATATTGGACAAAATTATATTAAATTACTTTTCTTAAAATTTTAAGATTTTGCACTTAACTAAAACTTTAGTTATAATTTTTTTATTAGTTACAATGCATAAAGTTATTGATATGTATATTGAAGTCAATATCAATAATTTATTTAAGATATTGAAGTCATCAGGACAAATTACCTATTGATTTCACGTTCAGAAGTCTATTTTTTCTCTTTTTCGTTTAAAACTTTTAATTATCTCTACACATGTATTGCTATTACAATATTTTGTCTATTTGTAAGATTTCATGGTTAGTTATTAATTTTTGGATAGGCTTTTGAAAGTTATTTAGTTATTATTCTGATAGGTTTTTATAGAAAAGTTCGATTTTCTTCTATTATATTTTTGTATTTGATATTTATTTATCTGATGAATATATATATTTTTTCTTACTTTCTTTTCATCCTTTGTTGAGTCGAAAGTTTATCGAAAACAACCTCTTTACTTTCTAGGTAGGGGTAAGGTCTGCGTACACTACCCTTTGCAGACCATACTTGTGGGATACTGAGTTTGTTATTGTTGTTGATGTTGTTGTTGTTGTTTTAGATTGTTGTTAATGTTCCATGTACTTCATAGTTCTTGTACATTTTTATTGGCATGATAACATAATCCTATTAACTTATGATCTAAGCTTTAATTATTGATTTAAACTCCATGTTGCTTAGTATTTTTTATGTTCGTCTGTAACTCTATTCACGTATTTGATATTTATTTATATATTATTTTCATGCCAGTTTGGGTTGAATAAACTTTTTTGAGATCAGAATAAGCAGACGACTCAAAGAAGAAAATAAAATGAGATTGAAATGGTGAGAATAACCCTAAATCTTTTGCCCCCAAAATTCATTTTTCTTATTCATAAACTCTAATTTTTCTAGATTGTTTTCTAAATTTTTGCCCCTTGAATTACAACAATTGAAAGTGTAATACAAGTTAAGGTTAGTATATATGGAAATTATCACAAATATATCAATGCTAAATTGATGAGAAAAATATATAAAATCGGGATGAAGCATCTTAGTCAAACATCTTGCACATATATTGACGTGAGACACACGTGCAACGCACTTACACTAAACTAGTTAAGAGAATAGTTGGAAACTAAAATACTTGTGGAAGTAATTAATTTTTTTTTTTTTGTTTTATTTAGCTTTTGTAACATAAAGTAGAAGAAAAAAGCGTTGCAATAATATTTTACTATCACGGAACGCAAACATTGTGTTAATTAATAGGGAAAAAACAAAATTGACCGGTCGATAATTACATTCGTAAGCCAAAAAATATATATAAATGTATATCGTATATTATAAAAATATATATTTTATCGATTGTTATTTTTTAAAACGGGAAAATATATATTTATCTGATTAATACTAGCACTTCGTAACATTTATAGTGGGGTGTTCTTTCTTCCTTCTAAATTTACTTCGTCTAGGAAAAACCTCTCACCTTGTATGAAGAAAGAAGAAGAAAGGGCAAATATATAGACGACCCCTTAAACTTAGCTCCAGTTTCTATTTTGACATCTTAATTTAGCACTTTTTCTATTGAACACTTTAATTCTATTTTGGTGTATGCCATTTAAACACAACGCACGTCCGGCCAAAGGAGCGTTATGTCCACACATGATAAGCGCGTGAATATTATTAATATTTGCTTAGGTGGATATTCCAACGGTAAAAATAAAACCCACCCGTTAGACCCACTTTAAAACACCTGATTTTTCTATTTTTTTCTCTCAAGAATGCCCTAATTCCTCTTTCATCTTCTTCCCTTGCAAATTCGCCATTTTTCCCTTCTACTGAAGATTAGGTGCCCAAGCTTGAATCTTGATCTGATTTCTTCCTCATCTTTCTCGTTTATCAGTTCCATATCACAAAAATCAACAACTTCTCGCAATGGAATGAAAATTTTCACAGTGGATTTAATGCGCCACTGACTATATCATGCTCATCTGCAAACCCAGGTCGCCGATTTTATGGTTGTAAATTGGTAAGTCGATCGTATTGTTTTTGTTAGACCCTTGAATTTTTTAATAAAGAAATTTGTTTTTAATTTTTTTGGCCGCATTTCTTTTTGAATTTTGTAGGGTCGAGGTGGCTGCAAATATTTCAGATGGCATGATGATGAAATGCCCGATCAAGCTAAGAAGGTTATACGGGGTCTGTTGAAGAGAGTTGAAAGAACTGAGAAAACAGTTGCGCGATTGAAGTGATTATTTGTTGTGGTGGTGGTGGTGTTTCTATGGATTTGGCTTTGGTGATGCTAGTGGTTTGTAGAACAATGTAGTATTTTTATGATATGCTGGTGTTAATAGTATTATAGTTGCTACTATTAGTTCAAGAAAAATATAGTATGTTGGAAGTAGGAACTAGGAATTTGGCCTTTTGTTAATGTATACTATTTTGTTATGAATGAAATAGAAATGACCAATTTTTAATGCAAATTGAAGTTCAGCTGCACTTCCATAATGCGTTATGAATGAAATGCAAATTCATATTCATGAATTAAAAACATAACTACCTAAACATTCCATTGCATAATGTGATGGACTAGCATTACATCCAAGATCAAAAATAGAGCATTATTTTGGTCTACAAATTACAAAAAATAGAGCATTATTTTCCCAAACATATAACTGTCCAAACTAGTAAACTCTAATAGAGCATAACTGCCCAAACAAAAAATTGGTAGTGACATCTTAGATAACATAAATAAAAATTGGTCTGTTTCACAGTGTAGATGCAGCTGAACTTGTTTGACTTGAAGAACTTTTTTTCCTTGCTGCACTCATTTGCTGAAGTTGTGACCTTGTCACTGCATTTCTTCCTTTAAAATTCAATCCGGGGGGCTTAAATCCAATGTCTATGTTAGTTGCAAATGTATCCTTGAATGTCCCAGCTGATATGACTCTCTCAAATGATATATCAGGATATAAAATACAATGAATTAGTAAAAAACAGAATAATTCCAGCCTACAAAACTGCATTATAATAAACTATACACCCTTACATTCAGGATAGTAGTTTCAGTCAGTGAAAATCCCAAAATCAGTATACCTTGGCCTTTTATGTCCAATGGTTGCTGCATTAGCCGAGCCTCCTCCTAGTGTAGTTCCTCTTCCTTTTCCCCTATCTAGTCCATGGCCTCTTCCTCTTCCTCTTCCTCTACCAAGGCTAGTTGATTGGTTGTTGCTTTATTTTTTGACAACACTTGTATCCTCACATATAGATTATGGATTGTTTTGTTGAGATGGTATTTCTTGAGATGATCTTGGTGGAGGTGGTGGCATATTTTGACTTTGTTGAGTAGCACTTCTTGGAACATGCTGACAGAAGTAAAAGAAAAGAATATCAGAATTGCAAAAAAAAGAATGTAAAAGACAGAATTACAAATATCAGAACTTACCCCTTTCCTGCATCCAAATTTGTTGTGTCTTGTTTGTTGGCAGTTTGAACAAGTCATCTTTACCCATTTCTTTGATAGTTTACCATGCTTTTTTCTTGGTTCATCCTTGGTTTATCTCCTACATCTCTTTGGTCTACCTGGCATAAGTTTAGGTTCCGGAGGCTCTATAGATGGATTTGTTGAATCCGACCACATCTTCATGTTGGGAATTGGTTGAATGAAATACTGGTAAGATTTAAGGAAAGTTTCCTTCCTATACCAGTGGGTAACATAATCATCTGGGTCCATTTCTCTATCATAGAATGCACATACTGCATGTTGATATGGAATGCCCCTCAACATCCATGATCTACAAGTACATGGCATGGTCCTAAAATCAACAATGAATCTGTACACACCTTCATCAACTTCAAACCCATGTTCTGCATTCCACATAACCTTATACCTCGTGGAAAGGGATTTGTTCTCTTCCAGTATCATCCTAGCCATTGGTGCAATGTCAGTAACCCAAGTCTCACCAAACTTCTTCATTTCATTTTATGTCTAATTTCTTCCAATATAGTTATAACATACTTGTGCCTAGGACCTATTATCCAAGAATTGAATGTTTCACACATGTTATTCTCAATGACTTCACACTTTGAATCATCTCTAAAGTATGCCCTACACCAATACTCTTTATCATACTTCAACAAGTCTTCACATATCTTATAACCAAGCTTATTCATTGCTTCCAGTTCTTCCTTGAATTTTACTTCATAAGATGCTTTGGCACATCTCCAGAATTATTTTCTCCTTTCTTCACCTCTCCAGTTCTTGGACCAGTTAGACCAAATGTGTCTAGCACACATTCTGTGTTCTGCCATTGGTAGTAATTCCCTTATAGTTGGTACTAGTCCCTATAAAAAATAATAATAATTGTCAGTGGACAGTATATATAAAGCAGGAAAAAAAAATTAAAAGTTGATTGTAACTTTACCTTTTGCATATCTGACATAACAGTTAAGCCAACACCATCTCCCAACTGTAAATCTGCAATCAAATATGTGATGAACGAGCTCCATGAGTATTTTGTCTCTTGATCAACTATAGCCCATGCAATAGAAAATATTTGATTGTTCCCATTTCTACCAACTGCAACAAGTAACTCACCCTTGCAGATTCCCTTTAGAAAACAGCCATCAAATCATATAATCATTCTGCACCATTCTAACCATCCTCTTTTCAAAGCATCTAAATATAGATAGAAATAGACAAACAGATTCTTGCCAGGAATAGTCTCACTATCTGTTCTGATCCAGCATGAACTCCCAGGATTTGTTTGCTTAATAATATTAGCATAATCAGCAAGTCTGTTAAATTTAATCCTCCAGTCACCCATGAATTGACTTATCACCCTACACTTAGCCCTGTAACAAACAGTCCTTCCAACATACACACCTAACTTATCCCTGACCAAATCCTGAATCTCCCACAACTTAATATTTGGCTGGAAAATAATCCTATCTTTATACTTATTAGCAATGTACTTAGAAGTACATAATTTATTCTTATTTTTGGTGTTGCACTTATGAGTTGGATGGTATTTCTTCACAGTAAAGTCACATGAATTTCCATAATTGCTTGCATACAATTCCAAGTTACACTTGGCTCCTTTACACTTAACTCTAACCATATCCTTTTCATTAGGCCTAATTGTTAGTTGCACTTTGTTCTCCACAACATATGAGGCTACTGCTTTTCTAAACTCTATAGCATTTTCAAATACCATACCAAGCTCAAAAATAGCAAGGTAACAGTCAGGGTCAAACTTTACCTTTTTACTTCTCCTTCTAGGAGGTAAGTCAATACCCCTTTCAGCTAAAATATCTAACTCATATGTGCTATCATCACTTCCAATATCAGAACTGGTATAGTAGTCTTCATCCCCTCCTAATTTTCCAGCATCATCACTTCCAATATCAGAACTGGTGTAGTAGTCTTCATCCCCTCCTAATTTTCCAGCAAACCTGTCCTTCTTAGATGGTCTGCCAATATCCTCATAGCCTTTATCTATTCCAACTTCTCCTAGAATAATCTCTTCAGTTGGAGTATGTTTCTTTCTTTGTTTCTTCTGTTTTTTCTTCTTTCTTCTTTCATGCCTTAATGAAGTGAGCTCTTCATTCACATCACTATCATCTTCATCAGGAATGTTATCTAATTCAGACTCACTACTTGACAGACCTGATGCTAAACTAGCATCAATGTTTGTTGTTTCTTCAGCCCTTTGTAAATTCTCACCTGCAACCCCAACATCAGCTAGATTTTCCTCAGGCACTGATGTATTATCTGTAGCACTTTCTTGGACATTTATATCCTCTGGAACAGTAGATGTTGCCCTAGCCTCTTTATTTAATATATTTTTACTTGGTTCAATAACTTCTGGCCCACATAAAAAGCCACATGGGACAGCCTCATCAAGCAACACAAGCTCATTAACTACATGCTTAATATACAAATCTAAATGATCAAGATGATTAAGATGAAAAACTATATTATATAGTTGTTCATCATTTTCAATCAAGTCAAAGTCATTAGATTTATGATTAATTAAATAAAAACCCTCTACCTCAGCATAATCCATATCCTTTGTGTATGATGGAAGCTCAAAAAGAGAAAAGTGGTCCTTGTCTATCATGTGACCATCCTCACCCCTCTCTCCTATATATCTCGGGACAGGATCCTCGACAATATGTCCACCATGGTGAAAATCGACAAGAATATATTCATCTGCAAACATATCTAAACCCTCGAAACTCCAGTCACGACCAGCTCCAGTTACGACCAACTCCACTCACCACCACGGTCAAAAGAAGCAAATGATTACCCGTATTAGTAATATAATGGCCAAATAGTTGACGGACAATTGAATCTAACTCAAAATCGATGGAGATTCCACGGGGAATCGGTCTCAATGTAGTTTATTAGGGTTTATTAGGCTAAAGAAAGGGAATTTGGGGTGGAAGATCGATTAAGTGAGGCGAGGTATATGGGTAAGGTAAAAACGAGGTTTTTTATCCGACCTGGATAAATAAACACGTGTCAGACTATTATTGGTATGTTTTTCCACGTGGGAAGCGTTTAAAAACACGCGCTTAAGTTTTTACAGCCCGGTCATGCATTGTGTTTAAATGGTATAATCCAAAGTACAGTTAAAATGTTCAATAGGAAAAGATCTAAATTAAGGTGTTAAAATGAAAACTAGAACCAAGTTTAAGGGGCCGTACAACTATTTGGCCAAGAAGAAAATAAAATGAAAGAATATTAGTCCCGACGCAATATTAATTAGGAGTAATTATATTAAATATCACCATATGGCAGAAGTTACAATTACCAAACAAGAAGAAGAAGAAAAGATAATTAACATAAAAGAATAATAATGAGGCTAGGCTTCAATAATCTTCATTCATCTCCAAATTTGAACCATTTCAAACATTGACGGCGTTGCAAAGGAACATAAGCGACGACGTACACGCAGCGTCGCCGTGTCTTCCTCCTCCACCACCACCACCGCCGCCGCCCAACAACACCCTTTCATAATAATCCACACAAAACAACGATAACGACAACTCCACTTCATGGCGCGTCCAATAAACTCGCCTCCCAACCTCCGAATCAGAAGCTGACTCCATTCCTATTGGTTTCCACTTTCGCAATCGATTCAACACTGGTCTAACACACACCATGTACAGCCGCCGGTACCCACCGAGCGCCAAAACCACCGTCCTCACACCGTCCGGCGGCGGCGACACGTGGCGAAAGCAGAGGTGCTCCCACAGGGAATCGTCTCGAGTGATGGCGCACCATTGTTTACATACACATGCAGCAACTCCTAAGGAACGACCGTCGAGCCTCTTCAATATCTCTATCAGCAAATCTTGATTATCATTGATAAAAAACTTGCTTCCCATTTTCTGTCTTACACAAAGCTCTAATCTCAAGAATATATAGAAATAGCTAGGGGTTGATGAGATAAATGAGTAAAAGAAGTTAAAAGGGATATTTGCAGAGAAGAAATTAAAGGGTTTTGACTTACAAGAAGAGTATATGGATGTTTTTGGCCTTACAGTGCAAAATGTATTTATACAAAGAGACCAGGTTTATGGGTTTGAGATTGCAAGTTTGTTTAATAAGTTATTGAGTTCTAAATTAATAATTTATATATATTTTTAAAAAAATTAAGATAAATAAAACGTTTAGACTAGCATGCAGCAATCATCTGTTTATAAGAAGAACCGATAATCTAATAAAAATGATAACTAATATGCAATTATTATAGTATAGAAGAATCTTTTTGTACGATCGATATATATTACTCTAGTTGTTTTAATTTATGTAAACCTTTTTAAAGTACCCGGGCCAAACTAACTAATTTTCGTTATAAATTCGAATAAGAATTTTAAAATTTTTTGAAATAAAATTTATATATTTAGAAACATCATTAAGAAAATCTGTTTTGAAAATATTTTTCTTTAAGCCGAAAGCCTATCGAAAACCTCTCCTCTGCCTCTCACAAGATAGGGGTAAGGTATGCGTACACCTCACACTCCTTATATCCCACTTATGGAAACACACTAAATATGTTGTTGTCGTTGTAGAAACTAGTACATAAAAATACGATAAACCATAATAGTTAATAATTTAAAATTTTTAAAAATTATTTATAAAAAGCAACAATTAAAACTATTATTTGACTTTCCAAATAGTAATAGCTACATTCACATAAATTGAAATAGAAGAAGTATTTAATTTTTTTGGTAAGGGTAGCTAGGGAGGTTGGTAGGTATCAGGGAGAGAAGAGAAGAAGCCAAAAGGAAAAGTGCCAAGGGGCAAAAGAGCTAGAACCAAGAATCCAAGAGTAGCTTCTGAATTATTAGATTGAAGGTGATGTTAGATATTGGGAGTTTAAGTCATAGGTTAGGTGATGTTAGATATTGGGAGTTTAAGGCATAGGTGGAGTCATGATTTGAAATAAATGGGTTTAATATTATAATTTTTTTAAGCTAGTGAATTCTAAATTAATAATTTGCGTATAATTTAATAATTTTTTAAGACAAATACAGAGTTTGGATAAAAATTACTGGGTCCGAAGGGCTAGCTCCGCCTCTGGTTATAGGGGTGGGGTGATGTATATATAGCTAGCTGGGGTGATGTATATATAGCTAGCTGGGGTGATAGGGAGAAAAATGTTGTTTGTTGTTTTTGTTGTTTGTATAGTTGAATCTCCAAATGACAGACTTTTTTTTGGGTCCATTATTTTGTGAGTGAAGTCAGATGTGAACGTTATTGTGTTGCGTAGCGTAAGATGTGTTGTTTTGATGTTAATGTTTTAGTTTGTATGCTCCTTCAATGCATGAATATGGAGATTGTGAAAATCCCGTTTCTTTATAAATTGACATTAACCATTCATGAGTTAATAACTAGTAAAACATTATTATTACATCTCCTAAAATTACTTTGGAAGAGTAACTTTCAATAGACTTTGTTTATTTCGAAATTTTATAAATTCATAGAATATTCACAAACAAAAGAGAGAAAAGACATCAAATATTATCTTCCTCAAAGGCACCAAAGTGATCAACAAGCGTTTTTCCTTTTCATGGAGATCTAATACATTCCAAGAAATTTCGCATTATCCTATATTCAAAAACTTAAGCCCTCGAATATTAGAGAACAATTCGGAGAGAAAAATCATACGGAATTATACCCACAAAGATTCATCGATAAAATTATTTTTTATATATTTTTGTGATAGCAATTAATTTTTTTCATTTCAAAATATCCATGATTATATAAATTTAAGTATTGTTAGTATTAGTAAACGCTTGCTCCAAAGTCAATAATCTGAATTCTGAACTAAACTCATGTACCTCTCTATGTCCTGTGCTGTCACGAGGATACACAATAATTAGTCTTTTCTATCTTTGTCTTAAAAATCGGTAAAACTAATTAAATAAACCTCTACATCGATAAATGCAATCTATATGAAAACATGGATGTGAATTTCAGACCAAATTAGAATCCTAGTCCTAGGTCTAGATATAGGGACCTCGGTTTTATTTGTAGCTCTTTTTTATTTCTCGTGAGTTGTGAGGAGTAAGTGTGGAATTTGAGATATTGGGGCATGTGGGTTTACATTTAGAGGTCGTACTTAGTAACTTTGTGTAGCTAATTACAAATACCGTGTACTACTTTATTTCACTACATACATTCGTCTTTGTTCGTATTATAATGCAGGAATTATAATATGAATGTTAAATAATAATGGAATGTATTTATTGAATATATTTTTAGATCAAAGGGGTTCAACCGAATACCCTTTGTTGGAAAGTTATACTGTGCAAATAAAGTAAAAATAATTTTTTTTTGTCTCTAAGATGTTGAATCCCTTTGATACGAAGAAAAATTAAGTATAGTAGTAAAAGGAGGTAAGAATTTCTTTAGATAAATAGATTAAGTTGTTATGATAGTATAAAATTGCTCCTACGATCTCACTAAACAAAGCGATAAACAGTAGCTACTGCCACAGTCAAAAGTCATATCATAGGATTTTATGCATGCTTTTCTTCTCTTTATTACACAAAAAAGAAAAAGAAAGAGCAGAAAAGGGAAAAAATAAACAGATGTATCTTTTGAAAGTCCAATCCAATCAAACCAAAAGGAAGAACTTAAGATATTGGTCAGTGGCACCTATATGATTGTCTTTTGGTGTTAGGATTTTGGTATAGAAAGGAAAGCCCCAAATTCCTATGAGACAGAATGGATATATTTAAAATATCACTTCTAAACAGAATCTTGAATTGACATTAGTTCTTTAATTATAAACAGTTAAACACAAGTGTGCATATATCAATGTGTCAACCCAACACCCCCAACACACCCACCCCACCCTACTATTTTGGGCTTTCTAAGAAAGTTTAATTCTATATAATTAACGTTAACGTCAAATGGACAAATATAACTCTTTACTTTTGAAAATGGTCTAATAATATCCTTCATTATACTATTGGGTTATCTATACCCTTACAGTCATACTTTGAGTTCAAATATATCCTTTATTTAAACGGAGGGACACGTGTCACCGTCCTGTTGGTCAATTCTAAATATCTCCTAATTAATTAAAAAGACTCATTATCCATACCCGAAAAATAAATTTTTTTTTGTAAAAACTGGAAAAAAACTAAAAAAATATTTTTTACTAAAAACTGAAAAAAACGAAAATATTTTTTTCTAGTTTTTACAAAAAACTGTTTTAAAAAAGCTGAAAAATATTTTCTAAAACAATATTTTTGTAAAAACTGAAAAAATAAAACTGAAAAATAATTTTCTAAAGCAATTAAAAACTAAAATATTTTTAACAAAAAACTGAAAAAAAAGTAGAAAATATTTGTTTTTTCAGTTTTTACAAAAACATTACTTTAGAAATTTGCTTTTTATTTTTTTTTCAGTTTTTACAAAAATATTATTTTAGAAAATATTTTTCAGTCTTTTTTAAAGCAGCTTTTTTTGTAAAAACTGAAAAAAAAATATTTTTGTTTTTTTTTTTAGTTTTTAGTAAAAACAATTCAGTTTTTACAAAAAAAATTGCTTTAGAAAATTGATTTTCAGCTTTCTTTTCAGTTTTTTCAAAAATATTATTTTAGAAAATATTTTTCAGTTTTTCTAAAGCAGTTATTTTTGTAAAAATTGAAAAAAAATATTTTCATTTTTTTTAGTTTTTAGTAAAAATAATTTCAGTTTTTTTTCAGTTTTTACAAAAAAAATTCTTTAAAAAATTACTTTTTGGGTATGATTAATGGGTCTTTTTAATTAATTAGAAGATATTTAGATTTGACCAACAGGACGATGACACATGTCTCTCTGTTTAAATTAGGGGTATATTTAAACCCAAAGTATGAGTGCAGGGTATAGATAACCCAATAGTATAACAGGAAGTATTCTTAGACCATTTTCGAAAGTAGAGGGGGTATATTTGGCCCTTTGGCCGTATAATTAAAGTAGTAATTATTTAGATGGCGAATCTATAACTTAAATTATGGGGCATGTGAACCTTGGTTCATCCGTCAAATTAAGTATTTTATGTACGTATTTTCTAGAGTTGGTCCAATATTATGTATTGGTACTCATGCTCCATAAAGGTTGAATGATCCACTTAGTGTAATACTTAATTATTTACTCGAAGAAGCAAAGATCATTTCCTACTTAATACTTTTTTCCCCTCCTTTCTTTGGTGATGCACACATATTCTAAAAATTCTATATCCGTCTCTGGTCCGATCATTTAAAAGATAGCATTATAATCAACATTTCATAAAATATATGATTGGTAATAAAAATAAAGCAGATTACATATTATTATAGGTTAAACTATATTGATATGTAAAAGAATTCTACACCATCAGTATATATTGATTAAAAAGCCCTGGAGCAACCGTAAAGTTATTTTTGTGTGACTTATATAGGTTACGGATTCGAACCATGTGAAATCAACCTATAAGATAGGATGTCTATATCATACTCTAGGGTACGACCCTTTCCCCGATCATACGTAAATGCAAGATGATTCGTGTATCGTGCTTCCCTTTAGTGTATATAGATTAAATTTCTAAGATAGGATGAGGGATAGGGAAAGGTTGTGTGGGTAGGGGGGTAATAGGAGGAAAGAAACTTGTCATGGAAAATTGTTTTTATTGTGTTGGACTTGCCTCTTGGACATATATGAGAAGAACAAATATGGATTCTTGGTAAGAGGAATTTGATAATAGCAAACTTACAAAGGGAAAACCCGCAAAGTCCGCAAAAAATATTCACATTTTTCACTCACTCCGTCAACTTCTCTCTTATGTACTTTGTTTTTGTAAGATATCTGCTCTAAGCAAACAAGTCAAACATGGTTAAAATAATGTCCAAATTAATATTAATCAAATTTTATAATTTAAAATTGCTGAAATCATATCATTGTCGTTTTTTAATATGCCACCAATCCATACACAAATGTATGTTTTCACTTGTGCAGACGGAGACGAACATATAACGAAGAAATTCTCAGTTTCACTTGTGTA